AGTGGCCCGGTGACATCAGGGAGAGACCAGGAGCTTCTGCCATTCGACTGAGGCTCTGAGGTGGTTATAAAAGTGGTGGTGGTGGGTCTGGCCTCACTCACTTCACAAGGAGGAAGAGTCCCCACCAACAACACAGCGTTCATTTCCTGTGAGGCCAGACGTGTCTCACACTCCACGCCTGCCAGTCCCAACACAGCTGCCCCTCCCGCGGCCCTCGCTGCCCCTCTGCAGAGTTCAGCAATTCGTTGCAGTGACCACACAGCCGTTAGAGTGGTAACGATTTTTAAACACGTGACAGGTTAAAGCTCAGGCCTGGAGCACTCAGCACGGGGCCCTGCAGTCAGGACAGCCTCTTCTCACGTGCGCCCACGGCGGGCCTTTCTCCAACCCTTGACCTCTTGGCCCTGCTCGGACTAGTGTTCCAAACACAATGGTGGTAGTTAGGTGCCATCAGGTGACCCTGACCCACAGCAGAATGAAATCCTCCCCGATCCCAGGTCATCCTCACGGCCTCTGCCATGGTCAAGCCCATTGCCACAGTCGCTGGGTCAGTCCATGTCATTGAGGGTCATCTTCTCCTCTGACCTTCTACTTTCCCCAGCATGATGAAGTCTTTTTCCAAGGGCTGACCCTTCTTGACAGCGTGATGGAGTCTCCCCATGCCTGCTCTAAAGACTTGCCTGCTTGCCCTTTGTCCGAGACAACATAGTCCTTTTGGCGGTGTGTGGGAGAGTCGGTATTCTTCGTCAATACTGCGACTTGGAGGCATCAGTTCTTCCTCAGTCTTCCTTATTCCTTGTCCAGCTAGAGAGAAAAAGCTGCGTTGAGTTATCCGGTGCATCCAGTGATGCTCCAGTGAGGGCCAGATGGATGAGGGAGTGGGATGACCGTGGGGTGACGCTGGGGTGGGGGACAGCACGGCAGAGGCCTCTCTTAGGAAAAAGGGCTTGTGGAACCAGATGTCCCTGCACTTTTGTTCTCAGGATCCCTCTCTGAGGGAGAAGTACATTGATCCTTGCTGTACAGGTGAGGACCAGGTGAGGAGAGGCCAGGAGATGAGGCCAAGTGGCCGTGGGGCCCCAGTGGGGAAACTGGACTTTAGTCTAAGTGAGAACAGGAAACTCTAGGTCATTGCTAGGGAGTAATGTGATTTGGACTGCAGCCTTCAATATGGACTGAGGCTCAATGTCAAGAAGACAAAGATTCTCACCACTGGACCAATTGGCAGCGTCAGGATGGATGG